GATGGGAAAATGGTTTAGGAAAACTGAGATAAAGGTTCTACATCTTCTATAATGCTTATGACCCATCTATGAATTTGATGGCTCAAATCTCTCACCCCACAAGTCACCCATGATCAATGATTCGTATTCAATCTCACAAGAAGATGCAATCTAATGAAAACCCTAAGAAATCCTAATCTTGTTTAAAGCCTATAAAAAAGGAATTGTCTCTGCCCAAAATCTTTACACCTTATCTTTCTATTTCTCTCCTAAGAAAGTTTATCTCTCTCTCTCGTGAAAAGCCAAAGGGGGCATGTCCCATTCTCTCATCTTTGATCTGTCCCATTCTCTCATCTTTGATCTTTCTCTTCCACATTGTAAAAAAAGGGCTAAGGGTTTAAGCTACGGGGTTCTTCTCTCTCTCATCTCTCAATTATGATTTATGGCTTTAGGGTATAGTAAAAAGAGAATCTATCTCTCTCAAGCTAGGTTGCTAAGGGAATCCGCCTAAGGCTTGAGTTTGAGATCCAAGGGGTTCATGTTTTATATGTGTGGCTTGGCCTAAACTTGTTTTCCTGGTTGAGACTGAAGGTTGATCATTGATCTCGCGCCATTAGATGGTAGTGACTCGGTGTGGGGTGTAATAAGTCTGATTGAAGTAATATCCGGCATTCTCTTTTTATTTCTTGCCATATTTAATTATATTGTCTTTATATTCCTAAGCATAAGAATTGTGGATACTTTCTTTGTTTAAAGAAAATTGGTTTAATGACATCAAGGTTTTTTAAGATCTTGGATTTGTTAGTTTAATTTTCTTTAGAGTATGAGTTATTGTAATAAGACTACTTGATCTTTGCCAAAAGAAAAGAAAAAGGGTGGAAAAAAAAAAAAAAAAAAGAATATATTCCCCGGCAAGATCGCATTAGTCTTTCTTTCAGCACTTTCAAGGCTCTTTAAAGAAAATGGGAATGTGATTTTCGCCTCTTAAAGCTCATGTGGGAGAAACCCTAGGCTAAGACCCTCTTTTTTTGTCCTTCAATATTGCTAAAATTTAAATGCACATTTTCAAGCAAGAAAGCTGTACAAATTCTAAGTTATGTAGTTATGAGATTGTATAATATGAAACCATGTATCTTTTTTTACAAGGAAGTCACAATTGCTCTTAACTATTATATCTCAAATTGGATAGCTTGGGTGTGTCCCACAAAGTTTGAGAAATATGTATTTGAATTTTGAGTCTATTCAATGACACTCTCACAACCACCTAATTTAAAATCTTACAGAAATTAGTGCTCGTGACCTCCTTTTATTAAAAGTAAATAGTTATTTGTATTATTTTCCTTCGTTTATTGGGTGTTAAAGCGGCGAGACTCCAACATAGAAAATCTTGTTGCAATTTATTACACCTTAAACAAAGTAAGCCAAAGCTCAAATCCTAAAGTTAAAAGGTGGTTCATTTGGCATAACTAGACAAACCTGTGGGCCTTGAACCCTTGATCTCCCTTAATGAGATGTCTCTCATCAAATTTTATTTACATTTATAATGAGCTAATCTACAGTTTACAACCTTTCACAATATAAAAGTTAATGTTAGAATGAGTTGTGAATGATGAATTTACTAGTTTTTGTAGTTTTTTTTATTAAGAATATACTTTTTGTGTTATTTTACTCATCAAGTAAGGGTGTATATCTACAAATCATTAAAAGACAGAGTCATATTTATAAGAATAAAGTTGATATTTTTATTAAAGGATAAGGATATACAACTAAAGTTTCATAATACTTCTAAAATACTATTGTACTGTTCTAAAAATTTAAAATTTACCTACAGCTAGTGATTAAGTTACCTATTAAAATAATTTTTTAAACAAAAAATAATAATTTTTTTATAGATACACTCATCACAACTCATTCTAACATCAACTTCTGCATTTTGAGAAATTGTTAACATTGAACAAAATCATAATAAAAATATTAAATTTCTTGCAACAAACTTTACTTGTTTCAATCTTTTGACCTCCCTTGTGGTTGGCCACCATTAATTTTCTAATAGACTGCAAAAGGGGGTTTTAAATCTTTGTAAGTGTGTAGTCTAAAAAGGGTGATGATCTTAAACTTTTCTTTAACTAATTCCATACTTAGATAAAAGGGTACGGTTGTGTTAGATAGGCAGCCAAACCCATCAAATCTTTGGCAGTGTCGCTAGACTGTGAGAGTAAATTTAAGAATGGGTCCACAAATCACACTCCAACAGTTCATACCAGGTGTCGTTTTCCTTTTTCTCTTTCGATTTGGTGAAAATGCATTTTATAGAGATCCTCGCACAACAGATAAGTTCTCACCCATGAGACCTAGTCCAGTAAATGATTTAAATATAGTCTAAAATTCGAGAAAGCATAATCTCACCTTCTTTCTACAGCGTTTAGCTATATTTTTGGGAAATTATTATTTTTTTGCCATATGTCCATTCCGAGGTTAAATTTCATTCTCTCTTGGTATAATTCCCCTAACATTTTATAATATATTTTGGAATATTTTATTCCCCTAAATGATAGTGAAGTACCGACTACGCCGTCGTGGATTAACCTCATTATAATGGAGGGAAAGAAGAACAATATGAAAAGCTATACGATATTAACATTAAGTTGAAATTTACAGAAATATCTTGCTTTATTTTTTAACTTTTAAAAGAGTCCAATTTATGTCATATTTTACGCTTAGGTCCTATTTTTAAGAGCATAAAGTGTATTTAAACTTGTTTAATTTTTCTATTGCATTTAGTTAAGCTCAAATAGGCGTATATTTTTAAAAAAATTTAAAAATAAATGACCAAAGTACCTTAACAGGAATTTTAGTTATTTAAAATTATTTTCTATAGATATGTGATAGTGAGAAGTATGGATATATAAAATTTGTCTTTAATCTGATATATAGGTAAAATTAAATGTACTTTATGCTCTAAAAAAGTGAGACTTGAGTGTAAAATATGCCATATATAATATTATTTTTTAATGGGTGCAGTTGGCATATGGATGCATCTGTAGGTGTAGAGGTAAGGTGCACCTTCAAATTTTATCATGGTATGTAATTTTGATGTAAAATGTTCTTAAGATTGTGTCAAAATCTATTTTCCTATCTAACTATAAAATTTTAAATTTCAAACTTGGTTAAAATCAAGTAGATCTATAAACATATGAAAATCTTGAAAATGGATGGTGTAGATAATATGTTGTAAAATGCACTATTTCTTAGACTTAAAATCTTTTTATTTTTCATGGTCATATATCTCGATGTTGAGATGATCAATCAAAGGGTTTTTCAACATTAAAACTACCTTTTCCGATGGATTTTTGAGGTACATCTGTAGTTCTACATTATAAGATTGCATCCTTATACAAACTTTTTCCTCTTTAAATTTCAAAAAGAAAACAAGATACTTCGTCACCATATTTATATTGCTACAGCGTAGCACTCCTTTTTGGGTTACAAATATGGTCTTGCCGTTGTGCAACTCGGGCTCCGGGATTAAGAATAAATTAGATACCAGAAGTACAATCAAGGACTGTAGGTTACAAATATGGTCTTGCCGTTGTGCAACTCGGGCTCCGGGATTAAGCATAAATTAGATACCAGAAGTACAATCAAGGACTGTAGGTTACAAATATGTACTCGTTTGACCAAGGTGGTCCTTGTATCCTCTTTCTATTCATACAGGTCCCTATATTCTTCCCCCGGTAGGCCACATGCCTCAGACAAAGGGGATGAGAAGGAATTCTCTTTATGTACTGGTGCACTATAGAAATGGTAGGGATGAGTTGTAGGATTGGTTGCTGCTCTTCAATATACAATAAACGTGAAGGTTGATATTTTCTCTTTACCATAATGCACTAGAGGAAAAGGTGCTATAGTAAAAGCACCCTATAATTGATTCCATTCTTCTCTATTAGTGTCCCATCTTTTTTAATTCTTATTCTATCATTTGTTGAGAAGGACATTATTCTTATCCATCCATTTCCTTCTCCATGTATCCAGGGGTATATGCTTCATATCCAAATTTCGAATGACAAACTTTTAGATATGAATATCTAACCCTACGAAAGATATAGGGTGTGGTTTGTGTGACAAACTTTTAGATATGAATATCTAACCCTACAAAAGAAATAGGGTGTGGTTTGTATGACAAATTTTTAGATACGAGTATCTAACCCTACAAAAGATATAGGGTGTGGTTTATATAACGCTGAGGCCCTAAACCATCAAAGTAAGGCGTGCCTTCAAATAGTCTTGAAAGAAGTTTCAATGCTGGAAATCTTTGTGATGACTTGAAAATTTATTTTCATCTCTAATTATAAAATTTAAATATCAAAAATAATGTAGATCGAGCAGATCTATGAACACTTGAAAATCTAAAAAATTGGCAGTCTTAAAATGCATTACAAGATGCACTATTTCCAAGACTTGAGATCCATTTCTTTCTATATCCATACATATTGAGGTTGAAATGATCAATTTGAAAATTTTTGGGCATTGAAACAACCTCTTCTAGGGATTTTTTTGGGTGCACCTAATTTGATTGTCTAGAACCTCGCCCTTATATAAACTTTTCCCAAAGATATATTAGAACAATATAAGAGCCATGAAAGGTATTATGTATTCCATAAAGTATATGCTTCATATCCAATTTTCAAAAGAAAACTTTTAGATATGAAGATCTAAATCTATAAAAGATTTATTAGAAAAATATAAGAGCCATGAAAGGGATTATGTCTTACATAAAAATAAAAAAAATGTATGTCGTTATCTGGTAAATTCTTTTAATCTTTCAATAACTCTTATTAAATTGTTGTTAACAATTATTTAGGACATATGCTTAGATGGGAAGAGATCTTGGTCAAGATATTTGGGAGAGAGAATGGCCCAAAAAAGGTGCATTCTCTATCTCATACAAGATACTTTCTAGCCATCCACACTATAAATTGAGCTCAAGAGTGGTAACATACCACACATTCTCACACTGCGAATTCCCGGCGAAAGACATGGAGTTGAACCGTAAGCCACGAGGGTTCATCAAGGGGAAGCTTGTAATGTCTCTCCATAGAGCATCAAAACCCACTTCTCCAGTGCAAAATAGCAACAAGGTGAACCCTAGCCCTCCAACCACGTCTGTGCAATTTGTTATAGACAAGAAGTCTACAATCCCTCAAATAGCCCAAAAGAAGACTATTGATGCCAAAGCCAATGAAGTTGGTCGATTTAACAGCTTTGAAAGCAATACTATTGTAAGTGGAGGTGGCAATGGTGAAGAAAGTGTAGATAAGAGGGCAGAGGTTTACATCTCTTATGTTCAAGAACGTTTTAGGTTGGAAAGGGTGGAGTCAGATAGGAGGAAGTTCCAAGATATGCATGCAAGAAATCTTTTTTAACAATATTAAATATCATGTACTGGTTTAGTCGTGTATCTTTTTCTTCATTTATTGAAGAGAAGTGTTCTTGTGAAGTTGATGTGAAGGATGCTGTTTTAGGTTATGGGTCGACCATGCTATAGAGTGGTTGATGGAAAGGCTTCTCCCTTCTCTACTCCTTCAATTGTATGAAGTCGTTTTAGTGTTAACAATGAACATTTTCCATGTTATAATTCTGTCGTGCACGATGAGCTATATCGATGACTACTTTCATTTTCGAGTTGATCTCTCTCTCTCAATCTCGATCTCTCGACTGATATGGTAATAGTGGGAATGTAAGGTAGCATGTTATGTTGAGGCATCTGCTCCCCTAACCACAAAGCCCCCAACCCCACTGCCCACCGATTCATCTTAGTATAAAATGGGAGGCACTGCCCCCTTTCATCTCTCTTCAAGTTAGGTACTCTCTGTCTCTTTCGAAAGGGGAAGTGCATTTCCACCTACCTTTTTCCCTTCTCTCTAAAAGGGGCAATAATCCGCTCCTTTTTGTCTCTCTCCAAAAAAGGGAAAAAATCTGCCCCCTTTTTTCATCTCTTTTAAACAGAGAGGTGGCCATACACCCCCCTGTTTTTATTTCTATAGTTCCTCAAAGAGAGAGAGAGATGAGGTGCTCTCCCCTCCCAGCATGGCTGCCACATCTCCTCGCGATAAGAGAGAGCTTGAAAAGGATGCCCTTAAGAGAGAGATGGTTTGGGGGGGGGGGGGGGGAGATATGCCTTTTCTTCTTCTTTTTTCTTTTGGGGGGATGAGTAATCTTTGAGAGAGAGATGCAATGATTTTTGAGAGAGAGAGATATGTGCGCGACAGAGGAAGAGACATGTAGCCAGATATCTCTCTCCCTTGTACCATGTGCCAAAGGAGCCTCTCTCTTAAGCACCCGGCCAAAGACCTCATCTATGTGTGTGTGTGCGCGTGCGCAAGCAACAAACTAAAGACCAGGTTAAATTTCTTATGGGAAAACATGTCATGTGCAATTGGCACACCCACCGCAGTCGTTGGTGACTACTAGTAGAGATTAACTGGGGTTGTTTTTGAAAGACATTGCACTTGACTATTAATCTCCATATTTTACTAGAGATTTCTATTAATCTCCATATTCTACCATAGTTAATAGCCAACCACAAATAGTTGGGATAATGATTGGATGATGATGATAATTCTTCTACTATAGTTAATGGGTAGTAAACCTTATGTGCTATGATATATCTTGGGGTGGCAACGGGTCGGGTACAAGTTGGGTCCGGTTGGACCTGGACTTGGACCCCAATAGTAATTGGGTAATAAATGTAGACACATACCCGGACCTGTCGCGTCCCAGGTCTACCCATCGGGTCTTGCGCCTGGTTGGATCGATTGCCACGCTATGACTATGAGCTTTTTCTCTTTGTTTTTTTTCTTTTTAGTACCATCATATACCCTATGATTATGAGTTTATTTTTCTTCGTAAAAAGTACTTTAAATGTTATCAATAATATGACAATATAAACACCTAGAGTGCGCCTAAAGACACATTATTGCCATCATGTGCTATAGGACTACGAGTACGGGTCGGGACCCGAATCCGAATACTATTCTGGTCCAAAATGTGGATCCATACCCAGACCCAAAGTCAGATGTACCAGTTACATTCTGGGTCTAGTCAGGTCCATTGTCACCCCTACAAATAACTTATACTAGGGCAGTATGGTAAACATTGTTTTTCCATCCTGTGTACCACCGGTGACCAACCATTTCCACCAAAAGTGCAAGAAGATGCCTCTGTCACTAACTTTAGAAAAGTGCTCTTTCTACATATTCTCATTTCCGTTGTCTGCCTCTTCCCCTCCATGTCCATCATTTGTAGGAGAGCCATCAACATAAAAATTGAAATTAAGAAATAGAATCCACCCTCCATGGATAGATCAAGACTTAATGATACAAAAATAAGATATCATTTACACAAAAATGTTTTGGATTGTTTTTCATGGAATTCTTTATTGTTATAGATTTTGGTGAGAGCTTAAGAGAGAAATTCACCTATTGAAAATTGCGAAATTGAACAAATTGAAATTTTAAAATAAGATTTTGAACAAGAAATTCTGTAAGCGGACTACGAGATAGGGTGTGCAACTCCCCCGGCAACAACAAAAGAATTATAAAAATATAAGAAAAGATTTAGAAACTGTGTTTAAATTATTTTGATGATTTTTATAATGTTTTTAGAACTTTTATTATCCCATATTCAATTTTTTATTTTTTAAATAATTATGGTATAAATCGAAACTTTCAATAAGCCTATATATATATATATATATATATATATATATAA